GCAGGAGGCAGCAGACCCCAGCTCCGGGGATGCTGAAGGTCTACCTGAGTGGCCACCTCCCCTCCGCGGGGCGGGGCGGGCAGGGGCGGGCCTGGGCGGAGCCGCACTTGACCGTGGACGGAGGGACGCTGCGCATGCGCGCCTCGGGAAGGCACCGCCCGGAACCAGCCGCCGGGGTCGAAACCCCGCGAAGTGGGGCGCAGGCCACCGGGATCACTTCCGGATTTCAGGTACGACGTTTGCTCCGGCTGCTCCTGGGAGGACTTAGGACTGTAGGTGAGTCGTACACCTTGCAATCGAGCACTTGCTGCCCTGAATTTTCTCCCAAAGGCGCAGAAATAAGCAGCCATGCAGAGGACCTTGGTAGTTTTTTTCTTTTTTTCAAGAGATGGGGTCCCAGGGATCTCTTCTCTGACCCTCCTGGGAATTCCCCATAGTTCTTCCTCCTCGCGGTCTTGGATCTCCCACCTGTCCTCCCTCCCATCTTCCTGGCGCTAGGGAGAGGTGGAGATAAGGGGTGAGGCTTGTGGATCTTTGCAAAAATGCGTGGCAGGGTCTTACTTTCCTAGCATCACCCAGGTTTCACCGGAAAATGTGTCTCTCGAGCCCCAAGGGGTGCAAAGTTAGGTAATTGTTGTTATTCAACATGTGAAAATGCTTTTTATATGGTAGCTTACAGAAAATCTCGAGTGGGGCCCCCAAATTTTGGAGTTAGGGGCAAGGCAGATCTCTGTCACCTGGATTTGTACCCGGTGCACAGAGTCATTTTGCTGCATTGCACCCAAGATGCTTTCTGGCCCTTCTAAGTGCTGAGCATCTCCTTTGTGATGTGTCCCACATCGTCGTCCTCCTCCTCGTCCCGTCCCCCATCTCCTTCCCACCCCCACCCACCCATCTCTTTATGTTGAAGCTTTTCATGTGTGCTTCTGCGTTGCTCAAATGGTCCTGCCATGGAAGAGGAGAAAGAAGGGTGGTTGCTGTTTGTTGGAATTTTCTCTGTGATCACAGAAACTTCTTGCAAAGATTGGGAATAGATTTTTTTGTTCCTCCCTCCTTAAAACAATGCTCAGTTCACTAGGAGATTAAGGGGCTGGCTGGCTGATTCCTGGCATTAGAATTATACTGAGGGTAAGTCAGTGACACCACATCTTCAGACAGAGGTTGTTTACTCAGGTTCACTCACCACTCATTCATTCAGCAGGTATTTACTAAAACCTGCCTATGCATGACAATGAGCTTGATCCTGTGAGAAAGGCAAAATGAAAGTAACCTGAGCTTTATATTCAAAGATCTGGGCTAGCTGGGAGGAGAGATAAGTCCAACATAACTAACTCTGTGTTAAGTAGGACATCAGAGAAGTGGGGGGCTCGGAGGAGGGAGAAGAATCAGCCTTTCACATCAGGTGGTTGGCTCACTAGAAAAATTAGGTGCCCAGATTACTATCTGGTGATGAGTGATCTCTCATAAGCATCAGGTCTATATAGGTGTTTCCCAACTGTTGTATCAGGCATCTCAGACTGAACATGTTTCAAACAGGTCTCATCATTCCTGATCACCTCCCTCCTTCCCCCACCACACACTTACTGCTGTTCCCGTGTCCCCTGTTTCAGGGACTAGCATCAAGGCTCCCCTGCCTCTTCCGCTCCTAATGGCCCAAGCCAGAGACCCAGGGTGAATCTTCTCTGACTTACCCCTCTCCCTCACCTCTACATCCAGGCTTATTGATGCTACCTCCTGAGCCTTTCTCATATCTGTCCACCTCTCTCCACCCTCATTGCCATTTCTCCAGGCCAGGCTACCATCATTTCATGCCTTTTTTTTTTTTTTTTTTTTTTTACTGCAGCAGCCTCTTAGCTTATTCCCCTGTCTGGCTTCAACACATCTCCCGCTATTGCAGCCAGGAAGTGCTTGCTGGAATTAAATCTGATCATGAGGCCCCCTTCATTCATTCTTTGCTGCCCTTGAGACAGAAACCACATTCCCTCACATGGCTGGGCTGGCCCTGTCTTTCTCACCAGCCCCATCTCTTTTCACAACCTCCTTGCAGTTTCTTCCATTTAAAAACATGTTATGGTTTCTCATGCCAGGAGGCCTTTGCCTACAACACACCCTTCCTTGCTACCCTCCTCACTGCGGTTACTCCTCTTCTCCCCAAGGTCCCAGCTGGGACTCTGCTTCCTCTAGGAATCCTTCCTCACGCTCCCAAGCCTCTTTAGGTGCCCATGCCTCTCCTCTTAGGGCTCATTCTGTATCTGCCTCCTCCGCTGTGCTGTACTACAAGTTCTGGAAGACCAGGGCCATGTCTGAGGACTCTGCTTCCTACTGCCATGTGCAAAGCAGATGCTCAATAAATAGCTGCTAAATGGAATTCAGTATAAATATTGATAGATATAAGTTGTAATACCGTATTTCCCCGAAAATAAGACATCCTCCGAAAATAAGACCTACTTACAGGTTTCCTTCTGAGTGAAATATAAGGCATCCCCCTGAAAATAAGCCCCCCCCCCCAGGCAAAACATGAGAGATTTGGTCCACTGATTCTGAAAGAGATGGAGTCACAAGAAATTCACTGGGAAATTCAGGAATTGGATCGTTATGATGATGTTCCAGAAGATGATGACATGATTGTCATTGAATAAATAAGTAAATTCTTGATACTGTAGGATTCACAGTTTGTCTGGTTTGTGTTGACAACTACCGCACTACCGTACCGTATACAGGTAATAAATTTCCTTTATTTTCACTTAACAATAAATGTGTACCGTATTCTTCTTCATGGAAAAACAAGACATCCCCTGAAAATAAAACCTAATGCATCTTTGGGAGCAAAAATTAATATAAGACATTGTCTTATTTTCGGGGAAATAGGGTATTATCGTCTGACTCTATGGATGCCTGAACCATAAATTCACTCAACCTCAGTTGTTTTCTCAGACCAAGCTTAAAAATGGGTATGAGGGTGAATAAGAAGAAAAATCATTATTAGAGTAACTAATATTTGTTGAGTGCTCAGGATGTTCTAAGTGCTTTATGGTATTAACTCATGTAATGATCACAGCTCTATGAGGTAGATATTTCTTATTATCCCTGTTTCACAGATGGAGAAACTGAGATACACAGAGATTAATGAATGTGACCCAGCAAGTAAGTGGTGACATCAGGTTTGAAGCCAGCCATACACTGTGGAATATGATTAGTTCTTTCAGAAAGATAGTAAGTAGGACTGAACATGAGATGATCATTGGGCTGAAGATGGCAACTTCCTAGATAGATTAAAACTTTTAAGCTATGAGGTCACGTGGAGTGATCAATCCAGAATTGAAAACTCTAAAGAACATTTGTTTCAGTTGCATATTCACTTTTTTTTTTTCTTTTTTCCGGCCAGTAAAGCTCAGTTAGGAGAGGCATAATAATTTCTAAGAATTATACTTCTCTGAGTCTGAAATCTTGCTTCTGTTGTGAGACCTCAGAGGTGTTGCTTGTCTTCTCTGTGCCTCTCCTTATCTGGAAAATGGGGATAGTAATGGTGGCAGTTACTGCAGAGGGTTCTGGTGATAATTACATGAGTTGATATATGGAAGGCCTTAGAATGGTGCCTAGTACATGGTACTTGCTTGTAAACATTATCATTATTATTTGTTTTCCCATCATTTAGTCAATAATGGTATTTGAACGCAGGTCCTTCCTCACATTCATTCTCACTGCACTGTTTTGTGGGCATAGATGAGCTCCCTGTTTTATGTCATTCTTCTTCCCACAGATACTGAGGATTTTTCAGTGTTGCCTCCTCAGGGCCATCGTCTCCTCCTGTGCCCTGGATTTCCTCCCCAAAGACCCTTTCTCACGGTAAGTTCTAGCTAACCTTCTGAGATAAGCTCACAGCCTGTTTTCCAGCCTTCTGAGTCAATTTGTTCCCAAGTGTTACAGGAAATAAAAGACTGGGTTAGCCTACATGATAAGCAGTGAGAAAACTGGGAATGCAATGAAATCTCATACATCATTCCTTGTATTTACAGAGATAATTATTTTCCCCCTGGAGGAAATATAGATGTAAAGAAGTTAAGGAATAAAGCACTGTAGGGACTCTCAGCGGAGTTGGTGTTAAGGATGGGGTGTGAGGCAAGAACCAAGAGCCAGCTAGTGACCAGTATATGTCTCCAGCCTGTAGCTCATATATTTTCCCCTACATTTTAGAGTCCTGTGGGCAGGACTTCATGGGAGTCTCTCACCCCTGGATGTATGCTTCAGCTGCTGCTGTGATGCACAATACAATATCATTGTCATTTAGTTAACTTTGTGCCAGGGCTTCGTTATATTCTTTAGTGATTTACCATTGATTAAGCGTGGATGTCTCTGCTGCCCCTGAAGAGCTGTCTCATAACAAAGCCCGAGACAAAGCACATGTTTAAAGTGAAGCTGTGGTTCAGTCAACAGACAAACATCTGCATTACCCCTTCTTTGGTGTGAGGAGGATGGAGGGACAAATACCTGTTCAAAGATGGAAGAGTTATAAGATGGAGTTGCTGACATTAAGGAATTTAAAGAAGGAGCAGTTGGCTCCAGACCAGGCTAGAGTGACTAAGGAGGTTGGGTGATAGTCAAGAAGGGGGTGGGCTGTCGGGGGTGGTTGGGGTTTGTAGGTGGGAAAGAGGTGGACATTCCAGACATTAAGGGAAGATTGCGGTATTGTTTCCAGTGAGGAGACCTGGCTAACCACAGCAGAAATCTGACTAGCAGAAGTGGAAGGAAAATAAACAGCTGAAGGTACAGCAGGTTTGGAAGACAAGGAAAGGAGACTCAACCTGGGTGTCTCCAGGGGATGAGCTTGGTACACAGTGGTTGAGTGTTAGATGATTGAAGATCTAGCTTCCCCTTTTTAGTAGAGAAATTAATGTCTATAATTAATGTCTATAAGTAATGCATATCACTTGCTTTCCCCGATTCATTTTATTTTGTAAAAGTGGGCCTTTCCCTTTTGCTCTACAATTGCAGCCTTGCCAATGGACCTTGTAGGTTTCGGTTATGCAGCCTTTGTGACATTTGGAAGTATTGTGGGATATAAGCGGAGAGGTAAGCCCTTTTCATCAAAATGCCTTGGTGAGGGCTACTGATTGTATAAGGAGCAGCTGGGGGCCTGGATGTCGGACCAGAAGCTAAAGATGTCCTAGAGGTGGCTGGGGACCAGCAGTGGAAAGGATTCCTGGATGGAAGGGGGTTTTCCTAAGTGTAGTGGGAAGCCAGAAGGTCTTTAATTAGCAGAGTGATCTGTCCAGTGTATGTTTTTAAAAGGTTATGTCACTATGTTTAGAGAATAGTTTTGGGGAGGGGGGTGTTGAGGGTGCAATGAAAAATTTAATACTATATCCAACTGTAACATTTTAAGCCTTTACATATGTAACATGGATGATATTATTAACCCTGTTTTGCAATTAATAGAACTCACAGAGGCCTGATGACTTAGCCAAAATCCTTCAGGCAATAAATAAAAGAATTTGGACTGTAACCTAGGGCATTTGAATTCTCATTCAGGATATTATTATTATTATCTAGCAGATTCTAAATAGAGTGAATTCCATGAAGCAAAGGCAGTGCGTGTTTAGTGTCACCAGCACGGATCCCAGCGCACAGAAGGTGCTCGGTGGGAGTTGGTGCAATGAGAGGACGGGTTGGGGGCTGGCTGGCTGCCGCAGTGCCCTGGTTCTTCCCATTTCTTAGTGTAGTCACCATTCTTCCCTGAGTCCTGGCATCTAGAGACTGGAAGCTTTGTTAATTATTCAGAATAGAGCCAGTACCTGGTTTGCATGACACTTCTCTCTCTGTCCCTATAAGCTAAAAATACCTCTACATCTTATTTTTGTCATCACAACCTCACAGTAAAGAGATAGAGACAAGGAGAATAGGGAGAAAAAAAGAGAGGGACATAAGTCAACTGGTTTCCCCAGGTCATGCAGTCAATGTCAAAACCACTACCGCAAGGCAGATTTTCTTATTCCCTCAAATTAGTTGGAATTCAGTATGAAACAGTCATTTCTTACAGACTATCCTCAAATAGGCCTGTGTTCAGTTTGGCTATGTCCAGTCACCATCCTCAAGTAGAAATACACTGGAAAGTGAATGTATCATACTTGATGTAATTCCTTTCACTTTCTGATTCTATTTCTGTGCCCATATACCCACCTCTCCCCCCAGGTGGTGTTCCGTCTTTGATTGCTGGTCTCTTTGTTGGATTTTTGGCTGGATATGGAGCTTACCGTGTCTCCAATGATAAGCGAGATGTCAAAGTGTCTTTGTGTAAGTAAGACACTTTCCAGGTACGGAACATTGAACCTGGGGGTAGCTGATATGATGCTTCTCAATTTAATATTATTGCTCAGTGTGTTGGAATGGTACACAATAAAATATTTGGCCTTCTTCTAAATACTAAGATAGTATTATTTTATTAATCAGGTCTTACTTTAATATATATATAATTATTTATAATAAATATATATAATTATTTTCCTTACATTCAGTTACCTAAACATTTGTTGGGTGTCTCTGGTGGGTGACCAGAGTTCCTGAGGAAAGTTGAATAAGCCAGCAGTCCTAGTCTTCAAAGAGTATTCTGTAAATAGAAAGTTAAGTTAGAAAAAGACTTCCTTTTAAAGGTGTTTAAAGAGTGGATTTTAACATGCTTGTTTACTAAAATCTTTTTAATGAGCTAGTTAAGTGTTTTAATAGAGCTATTCATCTTTGAAGAAAATAGCAACCCAATACCTATGTATAATAGTTGTTATATTAGGAAGCTTAAATGATATCCCTTTTTCTCACAAGTAGGCATTGGTGAGGTGTTTGCAACTCTGATTCATGTATTGGTTTGTTTTTCAGTTGCAGCTTTCTTTCTGGCCACCATAATGGGTGTGCGGTTTAAGAGATCCAAGAAAATAGTCCCAGCTGGGCTGGTGGCAGGCTTAAGGCAAGAAAAACTATTTTAATGTTCATTTTCCTCTGCACTTCATTTTGAAATGCTAAATTTTGGGCAAAAGTTGACACAGTCTTTTTGCAACAAGAGTTCAGGAATCTGGAGAAGGGCTATGCATAAATGAATAGAGAGTAGACAAGAAATGTAAATTTGGGGGAATCAGGCAGAAACCAGCTCTCTAGTGAAGTGGCTCCCTGGCCCACGGCTTTTTATTAACACATTTTTCCCTTTAGCAAATGAAAGATTTGGTAAACAATAAAGGATTATCAGGTTAGGGGAATTGCCCTCAGCTGTTTGGCAGCAAATAATAAGATGCAGATCTTCAGCCCTGCTGAAGCTGTCCATCAGCCTTCTGATGAACTTCTCACATTTATTATTCTAATTGCTGTTCTTTAGCCTCCAGCAAAAAGTCAGTGTTAATTTTATACGTCAAAGTAATTTTTTTAAATATATAATAAGCATGACTTTGAACTCTCAAAATATGACTTCAGTCAGTCTTTGGGATGGATGTGCACAGAATATTTATATTGAATAGACTTAGTGTTGCCATAGTATTTGATCATATGTACACTATATCATTTTCAGAATAAAGAACTCAATTAAGTCTCATTTTTTTCTCAAGATTTACCCATCTGAGGCAACATTTTGAGTTTTTAAGGGAGAAAACAATATTTTTTCCCAATAGGTCAGTAGGGAGCTTCAAGTTTCTCTTCATTTGCTCCCAGTAATTCTATCCATGAGATTAAGCATGTTACCAAGTAAAAATTTATAGTTTATATGTTTTTTTGAAAGAGGTGAATAGCACTACTGTTTCTATTCAGCTCAATGTAACTTTTAAAAAATGTGTTTTTATCGATTTCAGTGAGAGAAAGGGAGAGGGAGAGAGATAGAAGCATCAATGATGAAAGAAAAATCATCAATCAGTTGCCTTCTGCATGGCCCCTGCTGGGGATCAAGCCCAAAACCTGTGTATATACCTTGACTAGAAATCGAACTGTGACGTCCTGGTTCATAAGTCGACACTCAACCCCTGAGTTATACTGGCTGGGCATATAATTTTTAATTCTTCCTGAAATCTGCCTTAATATATTGAAAGCCATAAAACGTTCATTTTCTATGATATACATTTTTGCCTTCTGAATTTTTTTTCTGAAGAAATAATGAGATGTATATAATGACTGGTGTTTATTGTGACTTTATTCCTAATGCAAAACATGATAAACTGAATAATTAGAAACAACTTAAAAATTCACCAGTAATGAAATATTTCAGTAAATGTTTGTCCCTTTAATGGAATATTGAGCAGGTGTTACATGTCATGTTTTAAAAAACTATTTAGTGGCATTGGAAAATGTTAATAACATAAGGAGAGATTATTTAAATGGATAAAAAAATATACTGTGATCTCAATTTTTAAAAGTTTGTACATAAAAAACCAATATGAGAAGGGAAATCTCTCAAACTGTTGAGAATTTGTCTCTGGGTGGCAGCATAATGAGTAATTTTCTCCTTCTGCTTTGTAGAATTTTCTAGTGTGGCTGTGTTTATGATTTGGGGAGGAAAATTTTGATTACAAAGACTGCTTTCCAGTTTGAGGCCTGTCTAAAAATGGTACTTGGTGGTGGAAAAAATCAGAAGTAGGGTTTATGGGTCAAGAAGATAAGACCCTAAAAATATGAAATGTCTGCTGCTACCACCCTTTTAAATTGCTGTCTTTGAAAACCACCAGATGTGTCTTAGGTTGATGTCCCTATTTTAGGGAAATGACGGTCAGTCGTTTCAGTTCTGGTGGTAAAAAGAAAACTTGTGTATTAAAAAAAAAAAAAAAGACAAGATCCCAATCAATGAAAAGTAGCTGAGATGGTAATTACTCCTTAGAAGCATTTGAAAGGTTTGTGTTTCTTTAGAAACCTTTCTCTCATAATGCTTTGTCCCAGATCTTTAGAACAGCAAGTCCTGATTTTTCTCATTCATTGAGTGAACATTTGAAAGTGGCTAATTCAGTCATGCCTGAGAAGTTCGAATGCAGGGCTAATGAGGTCACCCCTGCTCCAGCGATAGAAATCTGGGAGAAGCCTGGGAGCCAGGGTTTAGTCTCACCACAGTTAGGGGAGCATGCAGCCCTTTCTGTCTCCGCCATGTAAGAGCCACCCTCCCTTTGCCTTTTTTCTCATCCAGCCTCCTGATGATTCTAAGACTTGTCCTACTGCTGCTCTGAGAATCCGGAGGAACTGAAAGCTGAATTGACATCATTCTACACTCATGGGCAGAGCACACTCCTGGAATTCAGAAGATAAATTTCAGTATGGAATGTCAAGATTTTTATTTAATATTAGAAACAAAAGAAATGCTGTCACCTCTAATATGAACACCAGTCTGCGGTGGTGTTGTTCTGTTTTTGAACAAAACTTTGTTTTCTAATTGTCAGGTACTGTTTTCATTAAGGGCATTTAATAGTCTGGCCAGAGTGACTCAGTTGTTTGAGCATCTTTCCATGTACCAAAAGGTTTTGGATCCAAGTCCTGGTCAGGGCACCTACCTGGGTTTCGGATTTGATCCCTGGTCAGGAAGCATATAGAAGTCAACTGATAGATGTTTCTCTCTCATATCTGTTTGGCTCTCTTTCTCCCTCTCTCACTTTCTCTCAGCATGTTCTCGGGTGAAGATTAAAAAAACATACTTAAATTGTAATATATTTTTTCATTTGCTGTGTCTAGTTTTATATATGTGGTATTTCTTGGCAATTCTAAATACTCATCTGAAGTGAATTTAAATGAATCTCCAGGGTATCAGATAATGGAATGCCCTAAGTGGACCTCAGAGAATGCTGATGTGTCTACGTCATTTGAATTATATTAGAAATTATATGTTTTGCATTTTAATTGTATTGCTGCCAGCACTATTTTTTTTTCCTTAAAAAAAATACATCATCAGCACACTCTGTGCTAAAAGAATGTATTTAGTATTCAAATAAAAGATGGTCTGTTTTAAACCTGCTGTTTTGTGTGTTTTTTCATTTTAGTGTCTTATGTATATACTTAAATTGTCTTTGATATTTAGCTATTCAATTATTAATGAAAGAAATTGGGAAGGAGGGTTATTATACCAGAACTCCTCCTGAAACAAAAATGATTTTGTCTCAATTCACCACTTCATTTTTAGACTTAGTTTTGACTTTTACTTTCAGACCCCAGAATGAACATCAGTTCCAGCTCAATTCTCCCACTGGTGGTTGTATGCTCTTTGGAAGGTCATTTCCTCTCTCTGAAACTCAGTTTCTCATCCTTAAAGAGGAACCAGGACTAAATGATTGACAAGACCCATTAGAGCTCTAACCATCTGCAATGTTGTTCTTGTTGGCTCTGTGCAATAGTGTCAGATTTCAAATCCTTTTTTAATTATTATTTTGTGTTTTTAATTGAGATAACATTTGTTAATGACATATACGTTTCAGGTGTACGACATTATAATTGTGTATGCTATCGCAAAAGCCCCCTCCCTTTGCCTTTTTTTTTTTTTTTGCTCAGTGGATAGAGCATTGGCATTCGAACTGTGTATGCTATCATGTGTTCACTACCAAAAGTCTGGTTTTGATCCATCACCACATTTGACTCCCTTTACCCATTTTACCTCCTCTCCCCCTGTTCCCTCTGGTAACCACCAATCCGTTGTCTGTATCTATGAGTATGTTTTTGTTTTGTTTGTCCTTTATTTCTTTTTGGTTTTATATTCCACATATGAGTGAACTTGTTTGCTTAAGAGAAAGTACTGGCTTCCTCGGGCAAATGGTACCAAACAGAACTCTGAGCAATGGGTATTAATAGAATATCATCTTCCGCCAGCATTTTCCAGCTCTCCTTCCTTTTATAATTGCTTCCAAATCTGTCTTTTACTGAAGTCAAGGGAAATTCTAGGAAGAAAGCTCAATAGACATTGATGCCAGTTCTCTCCACCTACTTGCAGAAAAGGAGGGATTAGAAGCAATATTGTGCATTTATTTCATTCTAGTCAGAAGAACATCATAGCTTTCTGCTAAGTAGTTAATTTCATAGCTTCCAAGTGTGCCTTTGAAGTAAACAAATTTAAAACTCCATTGTTTGAAGTCTGTATGAACATAAGGAATTAAATGCAACAGTAACTGCATGCTCCCTTCCCTGTTTCAGCCTACTATTGAATTTTATCTCCAGTCATGCTGGCACCATGCCTCCGTTCTGCTTTGTCTGCTGAAACTGAGTCTTAGTAATGTGAATTCGTGGGTAATTTAATATAAAGAATTTCCACCTTGATAAAAGTGAGTCTAGTAATCGAGTGCACAGTACAACTCATGTGTCCTTGGTTACTGAATACATACTTTCTGATTGATGAAAATCTTTTTTAAAAATTTATATTTATTTTTTTAAGCAAGATAAACAAGTTTATATATTTAAATTATAGTGGAAAAGTTTTAAGCAAAATCAATTGTCTTTTAAAAATCCTAATGGCCTATTATATTTTAACCTAATGTTTTTAAATTGACAATCTTGAAACACAGAAATTTGCAATTGAGTGCAGTTCAGCCTGTCAGCATTTAGAACATGTTTCTTTCATGTATGTGTAATGTGTGGGAAGCATATATATGAATGCACAAGTACATTCTTGTATTGGAAGCTTGATTTCAAGACAGCATAAAAGAATTAATTAGTTTATTTTTAATTTATTTTTCTTGATTTCAGAGAGGAAGGAAGAAGAAAAGAGATTGAAACATCAATGATGAGAGAGAATCATTGATCAGCTGCCTCCTGCATGCCCCCTACTGGGGACCAAGTCTGCAACCTGGACATGTGCCCTTGACTGAAATTGAACCCAGGACCCTTCAGTTCAAAGACCAATGCTCTATCCACTGAGCCAAACTGGCTAGGGTAAGATGTTAATTTATAAACCACAATAAATGGTCAATTATTTCCACTATGACAGAGCTGCTTTTGACTTTGAAGTCACGTAGGAAGCTCCCTGAGTATATTTAAAGGATTCTGTTAAGATGTTTTTATGCACATTTACCTTCTCAGTAAGTTACACCCAGCAAATAATAGTTACAATTAAAGTTATTAGTTTGTCCTTTTTATGTCATTACATTATAATTTATTTATTTTATGTTTTACAAATTATACTAACATAATTATCCACTAACCTCTTGAAAGGTAATGTAATTAGTTTGACAAATCCACACATTGTGACTAATTTTTAGTTTTCTCTTCATTCTTTTTTATTATTTTTTATTAATTTCAGAGAGGAAGGGAGAGAGATAGAAACATCAATGATGAGAGATAATCACTGATTGCATGTCCCCTACTAGAGGGATCAAACCCGCAACCTGGGCATAGGCTCTTGGCCAGAATCAAACCTGGGACCGATGCATCAGTTTGCAGGTCGACGCTCTGTCTACTGAGTCAAACCAGGCAGGGCTCTCTTTATTCTTTTTTTGGTGCAGAAGCAGATGAGTTTTTCTTCAGTAGTTCAAATTATGGTTTCTATTAGCTGTAACTTGACACTATACCTTCCAAAACACTGTGTCATCTGAGCAAAACCTTATGGAAGAAAGCCAGACATTGGATTCCTGTTTCATCTAGAATGAAATCCCAATTCCTTGATAGTACTCATAGGAGTCTCATCTGCATTCTGCCATCCCCAGCTTTATCCCCACTCTCCAGCCACACCTCCTCTGGCTGTGTACTTTCCCACACCGAGGCTTTGAAAATTTGGGTTCCTCTGTCTGAAACCCTCTTGCCCATCTTCTTGCATGCCTGTTTCTTCTTACTTTTAATAGATCATCACCTCCCCCAAATAAATAACAAGAGCTGTCAAGGATGTAGAGGAAAGGGAATCCTCATGCACTGTTTGGTGGGAATGCAGATTAGTGCAGCCACTGTGGAGGGGCCTCAAAAAAATTAAAAATAGAACTGCCTTATGACCCAGTGATTTTACTTATGGGAATATATCTGAAGAAACCCAAAACAGTAATTCAAAAGAATATATGCCCCCCTGTGTTCATTGCAACATTATTTACAATAGCCAAGATAAGGAAGCAGCCAGGTGCCCATCAGTACATGAATGGATAAAGAAGCTGTGGTACATCTAGACAATGGAATATTACTTGGATATCTTAATAAATGAAATATTACCATTTACAACAACATGGATGGACCTAGATGGTATTATGCTAAGTGAAATAAATCAGTCAGAGAAAGACATGATTTCACTTATATGTGGAATCTAAAGAGCAATATGAACAAACAAAACAAAAACAGACTCATAGATACAGAGAAAAGTCTGATGGTAGCCAGAGGGGAGGGGGGTTAGGGGACTGGATGAAAAAGATGAAGCACAAATTGGTGGTTATAATATAGCCATGGGGATGTAAAGTACAGCATAGGAAACATAGTCAATAATATTGTAATAACTATATGTGTCAGTTGCATACTGGAAATTTCAGAGAAACACTTTGTAAAGCATATGATTGTCTAACCACACTATACCTGAAACTAATACAAAATAATATTGAATGTAAATGGTTTTTAAAAATAAAATTTGAAAAATGTTCTTTTCAACAGCATGAATGAACCAGGAGAGTATTATGCTAAGCTAAATAAGCTAGTCAGAGAAAGACAGATATCACATGATCTCACTAATATGTGGAGTCTAATGAACAAAATAAACTGATGAACAAAATAGGTCGAGACACATGGAGGCATGAAACAGACTGGCAGATCCCTGAGAGAGGGAAGTGGGAAGGTCAGAAAGAAATTGATCATAGAACATATATGCATATATGCATAGCCCATGGACACAGGCAATAGTGTGATGAAGGCCTGGGTGGGACAGGGGCTGGATGGAGGGGGGGCAGAGTGGGAGAAAATGGGAGACATGTTTTAATAGTGTCAACAATAAAAAAATAATTAAAAATGTTGCCTCCCCAGAATGGCCTGCCCTTGCCATTCATCTAAAGTAAAGCTCTAACAGCATGGATGGATCTGGAGAGTATTATGCCAAGCAAAATAAGTCAGGCAGAAAAAGACAAGTATCACATGCTCTCACTCATATGTGGAATCTAAAGAACAAAATAAACTGATGAACAAAATAGATCCAGAGACATGGAGGCATAGAGCAGACTGAGGAATCTCAGAGGGAAGGCAGGGGTTTGGGGCTGGGAGAACTGATTGACCAGGGAACTTACATGCATAT